GTTTGAAGGTTAGAGATCCCTTGTTGCGCATTCACTTGCCTCCATAGCTAAGTGGCTTAACCCCAACGATGCCGTGGACACCCGCGGATGGGGTGACTTTGACATAATCAAAGATCAAGGACTTAACCACAAGACAAACGTGATGCCTCAGGTCAAATGACTACTTTGCATTATCCTAACCATGAGTTCTCATGTGACATGAATATGAGAACTCTTCGTTGATCGTGTTCAGTGAACTCATTCTCTATTGAGCACCTATGTACTTGTCTTGATGTCACACACACCAATGACTCGAGACTAGTCACTCTCCCTGAGAGAAGATACAGCACGTACTGATCTTAACGGACTGTCAATGCCCAATTGGCAATCCTATGATCAGGAACGTTTAGGATGTGTCTACGAAAGAATGGTCTCATAAATCTAACTTCTTTGGATTGCATTCTCCCAATCACATATTCCTTGGACTTATCGTTTAAGCATATAACATTTATATGAGACGGCTCAAACAATAATCTTTACCCTCGATATTAAACTAGATTAGTTTAACATGTGAAATGTCCGTAAAGTATCATCATATGATTGGTTTTAGGGCACATTTCCAACAGTGAAAGTTGTATGAAATCTGATGGGTGAAGGGAACAAGAGGTATGCAGCAATTGAGTGTAATAATTAAATGTATTGAGGCATGAAATCAGAAATAATGTAGGGGACAAGGGTGATTAAGCATGGCATGGGAATCCAAAGGGAATACAATGGTGATTGCACGGCAAGGAAGGTGCATTGTGGAGTGACACCCTTTTGTGGCTGAGTTCTTTATCCTTTGTACAATAATTCTTCACATTCTTAGCCTCTTTAGTCTTCAATTTCGTCCATCCACCTTGCTCCATGCATTTGCTATCCATTCCAAACCCGAAACTGCTCCAAAGGCCTCCAAAATGCATCTTCTTGCATACTTTGTCCTTAGAATCTGAAAACACACAAAAATGACTTTAAACACTAAAATAACTAAGAAAACACAACGTAAATGCACAAGAACAAGCTAACTAAGTCACATAAATATGCTCCTATCAAATTCCCCCACACTTAGCTTTTGCTAGTCCTCGAGCAAAACAAAATAAACTAAACAAAACAAACCAACAAAACGAACAAAACCCAACCTAAACCTTCCAACGTTTGCCTCAGGGATTTCCAATGCACATGACATGTTAAAAATTGTCATCCCCACAGATTTTAGTTGTCTTCTCACTTAAGCACATACTTAATCATAGTCACCACTTACTAGTTCACATTTAAGCAATTAAAACAATGTTTTGAATGTAGTAACATGCCTTAGAGAATTTGCTCAAGTTCCTTACAAGATATTCACTCAATTTTCACTCAGATTTTTCTAACTACACACCCTATACTAGTTATATGTGAGAAGATTGATGTAAACATGAAAACGAACGCTCACATATATGTATTACAAAGAAAGCGATTTCTGGAGCATGTTTAGATATGATCTCATGAATGGAATGCTACTACTTAGATGCGAGAACCAGTGACACCATATGCTCATATCAAATTCAAACTCCACAAATTGAAACACATAACACTCAAGATTGAAGTCAAGGTTGTAACGAGGCTTGGGGGTGTTGGCTAACAAATGAAAGTAAGGGAAAAACAAACGTTCTTAAAGCAATAGCAAATAAAGTAATGAACTTGAACTTAGAATTCACTTAAATTGCAGAAATCAACTTTTAGACATAAGGGAAAGATTTAAACAACTCTTTAGGGTCAAATTCAACTTTTTTTTTTTTTTCATAGCACGAATTTTTCTTTTCTTTTCTTTCCACCCGTGCCTATGGCACACTACTTACATGAGAAACACTTCCCCCACACTTGTTTTCTGCCAAACATTACTCAAAAGGAATTCAATTTGAATCATGCTTTACTATACTTTAAGAACAAGGGTATGGATGGTCCTAATCTAGGCTAGGTGAGGATAACGTGGGTTAACAAAGAACGTAGGCTAACAAGGCTCAATGGGGTTAACTTAAACAAATAATGAAGTAGGATACACGGCAATTTGGCTTTGGTGGTGGTAACTACACAACTTCATCTTGAATATGTGTTATGCAAATCAATATCATGCTTTGAATGAAATGGGCATGAGTTCTAGCATTTGGAACTAAATGATGAAATGCCTTCTAAGTAGTAACCAAGCAAAGAAAAATGAGATCATGCAACGACTTTAGAAAACAATAATGCACAGATTATCAACTCTCCAAATAACGTTTAGGCTCAAGTCCCACAAGGTTGTAGCGTTTGTTTGAGTTCCTTCCTTCAAGCATGTTACAAAAACTAATTTTTCCTTTATGATTGCATGTGAATTCATAAATTATAACCACAACCAAGCATACACCAAAGAGTAAATCAAATGTTCATCCATGTTTATAACTCTCTTTAACAGTCATGTAATTAAAAACCAAATCCTCATCCTTGTGTTGGAAGGTACCCTAAGACACAAACAAAAACAACTCTTTTTGGTTTTTTTTTCAAAACAATTTTTCAAATTTTTATGAGATTTTCAGATTTTTATGTCAAAACACACTAAAATACTCCAAAATACCTTAAAAAACACTTAAAAGAGCAAGGAACAACATTAGAAGTAATGGGTGATAAACTCCTACGAATTTCATGCAAAACAATGGTTACCCCCCCACACTTAAATCAAACATTGTCCTCAATGTTTCAAGCATAAACTCGCACAAAAACAAGCAAATAAACAAACAACGAATAAACATGACAAGTATAGCAAAGTAAACAAAAAAAAATAGACAGAGTAGAGTTTAAGAACGCAAATCTGGTTTTGGAGATAGATGATCTTGTTATCTTTCCACAGCTTTGATCTCGAACTGGTTTGTATTTCTGAGCGAGAAATATGAGAGTTCCTTGGTTTCAAATCAGACTCCTTCTGCTGGGATGATTTGATTGTGCAGTCTGCATTCTTCTCTGCTTGTTTCTTCTGCACGGCGGGCAGGCACGAGGTAAAGGTGTTGGTCTGTTTCTTTCTTCAATCTTTCCAAGTGCCCACCTCTTGCTTTCTTTCTCCTTGTCCCTAGCTGATTGGTAAATTGTCTCCACATGCTTAGAGGTATCATTTTCACTTCCCTTATCTGTTCCCCAGGCAGATGTGGTAGACGAAGAGGAAGCACAAGATGATGAAGATGAGTACTCGAGAGCAAGGCTAGGTAAGCAATCAGGAAGGCGTTCTAAGCAGTCGGTTCCAGATCGGAAGATTGATGCCAAGTGCTGGCTGGTTGCTTTCCTTCTCCTAGTCCTACAAGTTAGAACAAAGACAAGGAAAAGGACACGGAGAATGCCTGATATGAGATACTCTTGCTTTCTACCTTCATGATATGAAATACTTTTGCTCTAGATGGGTTGTTCGCAGGAGTATCCCAAGGAATGAGGAATACAGAGTGACTCGTGAGGGTTTGTTGGAAAGCTATTTCAGAGAGGATGAAAGGTTAAGTGAGGCTGAAAGTTGGGTGAGGCTGCCTCACTATGAAGTTCAACATTTATAGAATTTTCTTAATGGCTGGGAAGGCATTGTTCCATTACTCGTGTCGGCAAGCCTGGGATAATTTAACAGTACACTTCATGTGCATTCTGCTTCTCCAGAAATCTTCGACAGATTGCGCGTGATTTACGCAACACAGATGTGCAATTGACAGATGCTGACACGTCTTGATAAAGCAGATGCCTCTTTAATATCCGGAATTTGCGCTTCGAGTTCTGAGCTTCGTTGAGGGCAAAGATTGCATGTGACAAGTGTGGACAAATCTAGAAAACGAAGATTGGCCCGGAGTTTCAAGCCCAACTTTTGAGAAAGCGAGTGCCTCCTTGAGAACTGGAATCGGTGGTTTGTAAGCAAGCCCAACTTTTGAGAAAGTTGGCGCCTCTTCGATCTTTGAATTGGCTTCTTCGATTTCTGAGCTCACTTTTTCGATCTCTGAAATCCCATCGCGTGCTGATTTTTATAGAGGTATGCAGGACGTTCAAAGCACACTTGAATTTCTGCCTGTAAGAACTCCAGTTTTGCACTTCTACGATCTTGACTTGTCCGATCTCATCTTTCTTTAACACCTTTGAAAAATGTCTGGCCCTTCCGACCGTCGTTTTGACTTGAACCTTGGTGAAGAGGTAGCCCCGCCTTCTCCAGACAACATATGGCGCCCATTCTTCATATCCCCTACTGGTCCTCTTACCGTTGGGGATTCGGTGATGAAGAATGACATAACCGCTGCGGTGGTGGCCCGGAACCTTGTCACTCCTAAAGATAACAGACTGCTTTCCAGACGGTCTGATGAGTTGGCTGTTAAGGAGTCTCTGGCTCTTAGTGTGCAGTGTGCGGGTTCTGTGTCCAACATGGCCCAACGCCTATTTGCTCGAACTCGTCAAGTTGAATCGTTGGTGGCTGAAGTAATGAATCTCAAGCCAGAGATTAGAGGGCTTAAGCATGAAAATAAACAATTGTACAAGCTCACAAACAACTATGCCACAAACATGAAGAGGAAAATTGACCAGATGCAGGAATCTGATGGTCAAATTTTAATTGATCATCGGAGGTTTGTGGGTTTGTTCCAACAGCATTTGCCTTCGTCTTCTGGGGCTGTACCGCGTAGTGAAGCTCCAAATGATCAACCTTCGATACCTCCTCCTTCTGTGGCCCCACCGACTGCTGAGACTCCGCCGACTACTGAGACTTCTCCTAAGCAGCCTTTGTGAAGGCTCCCTCTTGTATTATGCTGTGTTTCTTTATTTCCCAGTTTCCTGTTCATTTCCATGAAGTTTAATGTTAAAATCCTTTGCATATTTGTTAATGTTTCAAAATAGAAAACCATACCCAAAAATAATTAAACAAGCAATAATATTGACAATCATGGCAGAATAAATGGGTTGCCTCCCAAGAAGCGCTTGCTTTAACGTCTTCCAGCCGGACGATGCCACATTGATCAACCTTCATGGGAACCCACGGCATAGTGGGTTGTCTCCTCCACATCATGTTCTACAAAGCTCTCGTAGTAAGGCTTCACGCGATGCCCATTCACCTTGAACTCTTGACCTGTTTTGAAACTACGAACTTGGACTGCACCATGAGGAAAAATATTAGTGATAACAAAGGGTCCAATCCAACGTGAACGTAGCTTACCCGGAAATAGACAAAGATGAGAATTAAACAACAACACTTTTTGTCCAACAGAGAAGGACTTGGTGCAAATCATCTTGTCATGAAAGGCCTTCGTCTTTTCCTTGTAAAGTCGAGCATTCTCGTAAGCTTCATTCCGTATTTCCTCAAGTTCATTCAATTGAAGCTTACAATGAATTCCCGCCTCATCTACATCCATGTTGAACTTCCTCACGGCCCAATGGGCCTTGTGCTCCAACTCCACAGGTAAGTGACATGGTTTTCCATACACAAGCCGAAAGGGGGACATTCCTATGGGTGTTTTATAGGCGGTCCTATAAGCCCACAATGCATCTTCTAACCTCAAGCTCCAATCTTTTCTTGTTGGCCTAACTGTCTTCTCCAGAATCTGTTTTATCTCCCGATTCGACACCTCGGCTTGCCCGCTTGTTTGAGGATGATAGGGTGTCGAAACCCTATGTGTAACGTTGTACTTCTTAAGCAGTGCCTCGATTGTGCGATTACAAAAATGTGAACCTCCATCACTTATAAGAACTCGAGGCATTCCAAACCTAGCAAAAATGTTAGACTTCACAAATTCTGCAACCACTTTGGAATCGTTAGTCTGGGTGGCTTTTGCTTCCACCCATTTGGAAACATAATCCACCGCCAACAAGATATAGAGAAAACCATGTGATGACGGAAAAGGGCCCATAAAATCAATTCCCCACACATCAAATATTTCAACAGAAAGTATAGGGTTTTGTGGCATTTGATCCTTAGCACTTATATTACCCATTCGTTTACAACGATCACATGTAAGGCAAAATGTCCTAGCATCCCTAAAAATGGTTGGCCAATAAAACCCACATTCTAAGACTTTAAGGGCAGTGCGTTGGGTGCCAAAATGTCCCCCACATGCATATGAATGACAGAATGTTAAAATAGATTGAAACTCAGATTCATTCACACAACGGCATACAATCTGATCGGGACAAAATTTCCAAAGGTATGGATCATCCCAAACATAAAACCTAGCATCCTTTTTAAGCTTATCACGTTGATTCCTATTAAGTGTGCTAGGGATATGTTTAGACACCAGGAAGTTCACCAAATATGCATACCAAGGCTCACTTACCTGAATAGACATTAATTGTTCATCGGGGAAGGTTTCAGAAATTGGCGATGCTTCCTCATGCACCATTCGACTTAGGTGGTCAGCCATCACATTCTCCATGCCCTTCTTATCCCGAATCCCAATGTCAAACTCTTGTAGAAGCAACATCCATCGAATTAGTCTAGGCTTGGCCTTCTTTTTCGTGAGCAAATACTTGAGAGCTGCATGATCAGTAAAAATAATAACTTTAGTACCAAGTAAGTATGATCGGAACTTATCTAATGCAAATACCACAGCAAGTAATTCTTTTTCAGTGGTGGAGTAATTTAATTGAGCATCATTTAGTGTCCTAGAGGCATAATAAATAACATGAGGTTGTTTGTTCTTTCGCTGCCCCAAAACAGCACTAATCGCATAGTCCGAAGCATCGCACATCAACTCGAATGGAAGGCTCCAATCTGGAGGTGTGCTAATGGGAGCCGAAGTAAGAGCTTCTTTTAATTGCTTGAATGTCGTGGAGCATGCATCATCAAACTCGAAAGACACCTCTTTTTGAAACAATCGGCATAGTGGTTGTGCAATCTTGGAGAAATCCTTTATGAAACGCCTATAAAAACCTGCGTGACCAAGAAACGAACGAACCTCTCTAACCGAAGTTGGAGAGGGTAAGTGACAAACAAGGTCTACCTTAGATTTATCCACTTCAATGCCTTCTTCAGAAATAATATGTCCTAGAACAATACCTTGCTTAACCATGAAGTGACATTTTTCCCAATTAAGCACAAGATTCGTTTCAACACAACGTTTCAAAATTAAGGTCAGATTACTCAAGCAATGATCGAATGAATTACCAAACACGCTAAAATCATCCATGAATATCTCAATAATTTTCTCCACATAATCATAAAAGATACTCACCATGCATCGTTGAAATGTCGGAGGGGCATTGCACAAACCAAATGGCATGCGCCTGTATGCAAAGGTGCCAAAGGGGCACGAGAACGTTGTCTTTTCTTGGTCCTCCGGAGCTATCACAATTTGGTTATATCCGGAATATCCATCAAGAAAGCAATAAAATTGATAACTGGCTAACCTTTCTAACATTTGGTCCAGGAATGGCAACGGAAAGTGATCCTTCCTTGTCATGGCATTTAACATCCTATAATCAATACAAACACGCCAACCGGTCACCACACGAGTGGGTACAAGCTCTTGTTCTTCATTCTTCACCACCATAACTCCGGACTTCTTTGGGACAACCTGCACGGGAGACACCCAACGACTATCAGAAATAGGGTATATAACACCACAATCAAGCAATTTTATAACCTCTTTCTTTACTACTTCCAACATGGGTGGATTAAGGCGATGTTGAGCCTCCCGAGATGGCTTAGCTCCCTTCTCCAAAAGGATGCGATGCATGCACGTGGTGGGACTAATGCCTTTGATATCCGCCAAGGTCCATCTAATGGCAGATTTGTGGTCTTTTAACACCCTTATCAACTTGTCTTCTTCTTGGGCCGTGAGTGAGCTAGATATGATGACGGGTAATGTCTGATCTTCTCCCAAGAAAACATACTTCAAGTGACAAGGTAATGGCTTCAACTCCAGTGTAGGTGGTTGCACAATTGATGGAAGTAACTTGTTAGCCAAAACCGAATCTAAAATTGAGAGTGGAGACTTACCAGATTGTGAGGGTAACGACGCGAGGGCACCGACCATTTCAAATACTTCACCATAAGGGGGCACGGCAATATGATCAGATTCCATGCCGTGGGTTGGAAGGATTCCCCCACCTTCATTTCTTGCTCCTATGTCGTGTACTAAGGCTATTTCAAGTGCATCGTCGTTCATTCGATCCAAATGTACCTGTGCCAAAGAATCAACAATGTCAATAGCAAAACAAGAATGGTCCTCAATTGGATATTTAATGGTTTCAGAAAGATTAAAACGAATAATGTCCCCATCAAACTCCATGGTCAATGTTCCCATGAACACGTCTATCTTTGTTCTCGCTGTTTTCATGAATGGTCGGCCTAGCAAGATTGGCAATGATGGAGCATGGCTCGAATCCTCCATTTCTAAGACATAAAAATCTGCAGGAAAGATAAGATGATTGACCTGCACTAAAACATCCTTAAGGACTCCCTTGGGATATGCGTTAGAACGATCGGCCAATTGAATTATAACACCATCCTGTTTTAACTCACCAAGGTTCATTGATGCATAAATGGAATATGGCATAACATTAATAGAAGCACCTAGATCTAACATGCATTGTTCAAATCTAGTGTTTCCAATTATGCATGGGATAGTAAAGCTCCCTGGATCCTTACACTTTGGAGGTAACTTTCGTTGCAAAACCGCGAATACATTTTCACTTACTTTCATAACTTCTTTAGTTGAAATTCTTTTCCTAGTTGTGCATAACTCTTTTAAAAACTTTGCATACTTGTGCACTTGCTTAATAGCATCAAGTAAAGGAATGTTTACTTGGACTTTTCGAAAGGTATCCAAAATGTCCTTTTCGCTTTCTTCCTTCTTCGATTGTGCAAATCTGCGAGGGAAAGGAATATTTGGCAGATTAGTGTTCGAAATCACAACATTTGGGACAATCTTACCTGGGGTGGACGGATGGGAGGTCTTAGATAGCTGCGGCATGGGTTATGCTACCTTTTCCGTAGGGTAAGTTTGCTCATCTTCTTCAATTTGTATCTTCTCATCTTCCTTGTTTCTCACTTCTTTTCCACTTCTTAGTGTGATAGCTTTTGCAGATTTGAAACCACCATTGGGATTGACCACCGTAGTGCTTGGTAACTTACCATTTTCACGGAATTGTCCCAAAAACTCGGCCATTTGGCCCATTTTCTTCTTTAGCTCATTAACCTCCTTTGCTTGGTTCTGCATTCCCTGCGCCAGTGTGGTTAGTAACTGATATGTTTTATCGTCATTCATAGACGTACCTATGTTGGGTTGGGATGATTGTGCTTGAGGAGGTGGTTGTGGTGCCATTGGCCTCGGAAAGAAACCTGGGGGTTGTCGGAATCCACTTTGTTGGCCATATTGTGGTGCATCTCTCCATCTGAAATTGGGGTGGTCACGCCATCCCGGATTGTATGTATTGGAGAAAGGATCACCCCTTGGTTGGTTTTGATTCCCATAACCCACAGCATTTGCAGATTCCCACATTCCATTCTCAATTAATTGAAGGCATTGATCAGATTGGTGTCCTTAAATGGAGCATACACTGCAGATTGTAGTTCCTTGCGCTTTGGGGCCTTCAACAAACTGCGATAACATAGACGTAAGGTTAGCCATTTGGGATTGTAACTCAGAAATAGAACTTACAATGTGGCCGTGGGGTGTCTCTTTGCCCAACACCTTCATATTGTTGTGCATTGAGTGCTCGATTAGCAATGAGAGTTTTGGCATCCCTAGGTGTCTTGTCCACTAGAGCTCCTCCAGCAGATGCATCCAACATTTGTCGTTCAAGTGGTAAAAGGCCTTCGTAAAAATATTGAAGAAGTAGCTCTTCCTTCATTTGGTATTGTGGACGAGAAGCAACAAGAGCTTTAAAACGTTCATAATAAGTTGGAAAAGATTCACCTTGGCTTTGCTGAATTCCACTAATCTTCTTGCGAAGAAGAATGACTCGTGATGTTGGAAAGAACTTCTTTAAGAAGGCTCGCTTCATACTCTCCCATGATGTGACAGTTCCGGGAGCCAACTCATACAACCAATCCTTGGCCTTCTCCAACAAAGAAAAAGGAAAAGTTTTCATCTTCAATATGTTGCTATCCACGTTCATCGGTGTCATACTTGAGCATACTACTTCAAACTCCTTTAAGTGTTTATTGGGGTCCTCCATTGATAACCCATGGAACTTGGGTATATGATGTAGCAAACTTGACTTCAACTCAAATTCATCGGTCTTCTCAAGGTCTGCCCTAGGGTATTGGATGCAAAGAGGGGCTGCATTGGCCAAACCCGAGGCAGAAAGCTCCTTGATGGTTCGATTGTCTACTGCCATGGTTGGTACTTCCTCTTCACACCTTGCCGTGGCCTCCTCTTCAACCTCAACTTCTTGCTCTTCTAATTCAGGTTCGGGACTAGGAGGATTAGACTTTTGCAACCTCTTTTTCCTTCTCAAAGTTCTCTCAAAATCACTGTCAAAGTCGAAGATATGCTCACGAACAGGTTATGAGCTGCGGGTCATAAAATAGTACCTACACACAAGAGCAAACAAAGTTAGTAACCAACTTAATAGACTCGGCACAAGTAAGGAAATAAGGTGCCTATACACGGCACAAAAACAAAACACACCCACGGTGCAAAATTAAAACAAAACAGAAACTAAACAATTTAAACAAGACTCAAGACAAGGGATTAGCGACTTTGTCAATCCCCGGCAACGGCGCCAAAATTTGATGCGTAAAATAACTAAACACACAAATTAAACCCTATTTGTGACAATTGTAGTAATGATAAGTAGGGATCATTCTAACCGGGGATTAACTAGGGGTGCTAATCTAATATAAATTGATTCAAAAACACAAAAACTAAACTTAAAGACTCTAACAAGACTACTATGACTCAAAACAGATTTAAAGCACTCAAAACTGCCTAAAACAATCAAATTGACTCAAAAAGAAACTAGAATCATTGAATTGGATGAATATGCATCGCAAACAAATTATTCCTAACAAGTTCTCTATATGCATAGCATGATAAAGACACAAGTTAGAATCATTACGTTCTTTGGAAATCATAAGCATCGACAAGGCATTTGTAACTATGAAAAGCATGATACTTTTGCCAGGAATCTACTTAACACGATCGTGACTAGCGACCTTCACTACTTGCGAATATAAATTCATAATGATTAGGTGAAACAAATTTATATCCTAGCACCAAATTCAAGCATGCAAATTAAGCGTGCACTCTCAATCAAGATGCAAGAATAAGTTCTCAATCCAACGGTTAAGCAAATTGTATTCACAACTTATGCAACGATAACTGGAAGTAATCAACTTATTTCACATATATAATCATGGTTTTGAATACACCCTTAGCCAAAACAAAATTAGCCAATCATACTTAAAGCAAAACAAAGATTACATGAATTCGACATTAAAATCCAAAGAAAGGAAACACCTAGAATACTCCAACTTGGGAGCAAGTGCATCTAAGATTTCTCCTTTCCGTTGCTTGAGGCAGATTGGTTTGTGGACAGGTTTTGGGTAGTTTTATGGTGTAGAATGGATGGGAAATGGTATGGAAAGGTTTAGGGTGAGTGTGGAGGAGTGTTTGATGGTTGGAGGGTGGTGGAGAACTCGACAAAGAGGGTGGAAGAAGGTGGAGTGGCTGTTATGTTTTCTGGGCACTAGAATGGTGTTTTTGGGGTGTTTTGCTGCCTAGGGTGTGTATGGACGAATTTTCTGTGATGAATGATGAATATGGGAGGTGGAATCTTTGGCCAAGGGGTGTAAACATGTATATATAGGCCCCAAAAACCCTAGAGAATCAGGTTAGGCAATGGAGGAAGTGCACAGCAAGGAGGGTGAATTTGTGGTGTGCAATGGTCCAAGGATGAAAATGAAGTAATGATGCAAAGTATGGAGGGTAAAATGGAGTGGTGTTGCAGCTAGGGAGCATGAATGATTGTGCACATTGAATAGAAATGAAAAGGGAGGTGAAATGTTTCAGAAATGAGTCAAAGGTGCAGCCACATGTGTTGCACACGGCATGGGATTCCAAAGGTGGCTGATGGAGCATCAATTGGTGCATGTAATGGTTGTGAAAGTTGTATGAAATCTAATGGGTGAAGGGAACAAGAGGTATGCAGCAATTGAGTGTAATAATTAAATGTATTGAGGCATGAAATCAGAAATAATGTAGGGGACAAGGGTGATTAAGCATGGCATGGGAATCCAAAGGGAATACAATGGTGATTGCACAGCAAGGAAGGTGTATTGTGGAGTGACACCCTTTTGTGGCTGAGTTCTTTATCCTTTGTACAATAATTCTTCACATTCTTAGCCTCTTTAGTCTTCAATTTTGTCCATCCACCTTGCTCCATGCATTTGCTATCCATTCCAAACCCGAAACTGCTCCAAAGGCCTCCAAAATGCATCTTTTTGCATACTTTGTCCTTAGAATCTGAAAACACACAAAAATGACTTTAAACACTAAAATAACTAAGAAAACACAACGTAAATGCGCAAGAACAAGCTAACTTAGTCGCATAAATATGCTCCTATCAGAGTTTCACCTAATCGTTATGAACTTATATTCACAAGTAATGGAGGTTGCTAGTCACGATCGTGTTAAGTAAATTCCTGGCATAAGTATCTTGCAATTCATAGTTACAAGGGCCTTGTCAATGCTTATGATTTTCATAGAACTTAATGATCCTTGTTCGTATCTCTATTATGCAATTCATGTAGGGAACTTGTGAGGAATAATTTGGGTTGTCGCATGTAATCATCCAATTCAATGAAACTAGGAAAATCTGAGGGTTAATTAGTGCAATTCACGGTTAATCTGGGGCATTGAGATTTATGGTTTATCGAAAGAACAACTGAACATCAATTTGTATGCAAGTGTGTGATGTGTGGAGAAGGAACTCTAGCTAACCAATCATCCATTCAAATCCCCAATTTCATGCAAATCTGTCTAGTTCTAGTTTCTGTTTTGTTTTTATTTTATTTTCGTCCAAAACCCAATCCCCTTTTACTTTAGTATGTGTAATTAGTTAGAATCAATTTTAGTTTGTGTTTTTAAGTGTTTTGAGTTAAGCCAAAACCCTAAATTCGTCCAAAGTTGTGTTTAGAGTCAGAAACTGCCTAGTTGGTGTTTTTAGGCAGTTTTGAGTGTTTTTAAGTTGTTTTGAGTCTTGTGAACCTGTTTTGAGTCCCTTGAGTCTATTCAAGCGTTTTTAACTTTGTTTTTATGTTTTTGAGTCAGTTTAGAGGTTTTAGCAAGCCCTCATAATCCCCGGTTTAGAACGATCCCTACTTGCATTTATACTACAATTTGACAACAAGAGGGTTTAATTTGAGTGCTTAACTTTTAGCGCATCTGATTAGCAATCCCTTCTAATCCCTGTTCCAGAACGATCCCTACTTACATCTTTACTACAATTGTCATCAAGAGGGTTTAATTTGTGTGTTAAGTTAATTTTCGAATCAAATTTTGGCGCCGTTGCCGGGGATTAGCAACTTTGCTAATCCCTTTTTATTTCTTTTTGTTTATTTTCATGTGTTTGTGCTTTAGTTTCTGACCTTGTTTTGTTTTCTTGTTTTTAGGTACTAGTTTATGACTCGGAGTTCTCAACCGGTTCATGAGCATATCTTAGACTTTGACGACGATTTCGAGCGGACTTTGAGAATGAAGAAGAATTAGCAAGAATCCAATCCACCTAGCCCTGACCCCGTGCTTGAAGAAGAAGAAGTAGAAGAGCAAGAGGAACCCACAACATAAAAGGTTGTTGTGGAACAACCAGTCATGGCGGCCGATAATCAAACAATCAAGGAACTCTCGGCCTTGAGATTGGATACTGCTGTGCCCTTATGCATTCAATATCCAAGGGCGGCCCAAGACAAGACCGACGAGTTTGAATTAAAGTCTAGCCTTTTGCACCATATTCCTAAGTTCCATGGGTTGTCCATGGAAGATCCTAATAAACATTTGAAGGAGTTTGAGGTTGTTTGTTCAAGCATGACCCCTGTGAATGTTGATGGGAGCATTCTGAAAATGAAGGCATTTCCCTTTTCTCTCATGGATAAGGCCAAGGATTGGTTATATGAATTAGCTCTCGGAACTGTCACATCTTGGGAGAGCATGAAACGGGCGTTCTTGGAGAAGTTTTTTCCCAACTTCTCGAGTCATTTTTCTACGCAAAAGGATTAGTGGTATTCAGCAAAATCAAGGAGAATCCTTCCCTGCGTACTATGAACGTTTTAAAGGTCTTGTTGCTTCATGTCCTCAACACCAAATGAAGGAAGAATTGCTCATTCAATACTTTTACGAAGGACTTCTTCCCATTGAATGCCAAATGTTAGATGCCTCAGCGGGAGGTGCATTGGTTGATAAGACACCCGTGGCAGCCAAGACTTTGATCGCTAATCGAGCGTTAAATGCTCAACAATATGAAGGAGTTGGGCAGAGAGACCTCCCATGGCAGCAAG